CTAGGTTGCTGTTGGAAGTGGTGTTAGTGAGGCCAACAGGGGGCGCCCAACCTGCAGTCTGTGTGGGTCCTAATGCCCCAGTATATTGACAGAGTATATTGAAACTATACTGTCAGTGGGCGCCATCTTTCAGATGAGACCTTAAACTTAAACTAGATTTTGTTAAAAAATCCCAGGATGTCCTTTAAAAAAAGAGTAGGGGATTAATCCTGGCATACTGGCCCAATTTTCCCACTGGCCTCTGTTCATCATGGCCCTTCTAAACACCCCCATATCTTAATTGGCTTCATCACTCTCCACCAATCAGCTTGTGTGTGGTCTGGCGCAATATGGCTACCGTCATGTTATCCAGGTGGATGCTGCACATTGGTGGTGGATGAGGAGATTCCCCCCATTGTGTTAAGTGCTTTGAGTGTCCAGAAAAGCGCTATATAAATCTAAGGAATTATTATTATTATTATTATATTATTATTATTATTATTATCAACTCAACTTGTTCAATGTCAATACAATTTTACTGTTAATGAATATAATACAAATTATTTCAGTGGCTTGTGTTTTATTTAAATCAGTACAATTTAAGTTATTAAGTTAAATATAAAATTATATTACTTAAAATGTTAAATAACATTACTTAAATGATGTGATAATATTATATTATTTAGTCTTATAAAATGATATTATTTAATAACAAAAATAGCAAATTATTACGAAACATTTTCTGTTCAGGTTTTGTTTTTTCAACCAAGTGCAACCTCAATTTTCAGTTTCGCGTCTGCATTTTCATTTTGGTGCATCCCTAATTTTAATAATTAGTTGATCAACTCAAACCAATTAACATACTCCTTGTAACTGGACTACACCATTTTGTGTTGTTGATCTTAGTATTGTATAATTGCCTTTATTTAAATTTTAACTCGTATGTTAGTTGTATATATTTGTTGTGCTGTGACCTTGAGGTTCATGAAAGGTACTTTAAATATAATGTATTATTATTATTATGAAGCTCCATCACAAGAACAACTTAGCATGTCGAGCACCACTGCCTTAACCAATTTTACACTCAAAATTACTTATTTAAAATGAGCTGAAACAACACAATTCTCCAGATTTCATTGGGGCAACTTAATTTTTTTATGTTCAATCCACAAAAATTTGTTAAAAGTGTTAAGGTAACTTAATCGATTTGTGTTGGGTCAACATGAACACAGTTTTACAGTGTAATGCGAGTTTCTGAGCTCCTGTGGTGTCTGTCATTGCTAATCAACCATCAGCTGCTCTCTCCGATGAACTACCACTGACAACCCCTTGCTGTAGCTCTGATACACGATTTATTTATGGGGAAAATGAAAAAGTGTCACAGTGTTTAGGTGCTCTGTGTTTGTCTGAGGTAATTAGTCCACCATTATTACTGAAATGATGTGAGGTGCACTTGTGGAATTCTGGAAAAATGTTTTTAACCTGCTGCCCTATAGAAACACCTGAAAAAGTGAATGCATCACTCCATGTCATTCCCTATTAGTGTGCAAATGCATTTTTACACCCGTAAACAGCTACATTATACTACATGACAAGATAATAGCGGAAAAAAGCATAAAGGGACACTTTCAGAATATTTATCTGCACTGGAAAAATCCTTGCTTGCAGTGTAAGAATTCAAAGTAAATTATGTGGTAAACTGTTTTACAACATTTAGGGCCCTATCATACACCCGGAGCAATGTGGCGCGAGGCACGGTGCAATACTTGTTTGTTAGTTTCAGCTTGGCGCAAGAGTCGTTTTGAGGCGTTGCGCTACGCTGTTTAAATAGCAAATGCATTTGGGCTCATATGTGCGCTCATAGGTGTTCTGGTCTAAAAAGGAAGGCGTTCTGAGGCGCACTGCTGGCGCGTTGCTATTTGGAAAAACTATAATAGATATTTGTTATTTGACCAAAATAAACCCGGTCTATTGTCTGGCGTAGAGTTGCGTCTCGCTTACACACTGCTTAATAGCCTACAAACAAGATGTAGAGCAATACGCAAATATCATTACATATGAAAGAAATTAAATATTAAGGATAGGCCTATATATAGGATATAATGAGAATAGATAAAGGATATAAATATAAAGGATTAAAATATTACAAAACATTATTTTCTAGCCTACATAAATATGAAAAACCACTGCTTTTATGTCTTCTTTATCTCGGGAGGCTTTTTCAGTTCATTCAGTTTGCTTTTGTATAATGTTATTATTATTAGCAGTATTATTTATTGTATCCATATTTATATTTGTTTTATTAAAAACATGCTTAGATTTGCCCACCTGTCAGGTTTTAGACCATATGGGGCACAGCATGTGTTTTAGGATATAACTCAGGTTTTTGAGCACACTTCGTTATCATTGTTCATTTATTCATTTGCTGGAAATTAGAACTGAATTTAGAAATAGTTTTGAAACAAATCTTTGCGCTTAACAAACTAAATTAATTATTTATAGGCTAATTGATGTCTGTGCGTGAAGGTTTCCCTATCCACGAGAGATCATTTATCTCTCATTCTTGCGCAGTAGATGCTCTGTTTAACTGTTTTCTGTTTAAAAAAAACTGTTAACTGTTTGCTTGTGAAATGATCAGTTTTTCCACTTACATTTACTTTACGTCATGTAAATAGCAAATGCGCTTATGGCGCGACGCAGCTGGCTCTTAAAGGGAATGGGAGATGAGACTCTGATTGGTTTATTCTCAAAACACACCTATAACTCATTAAGAAAATAAACTCAACCCTTTTAGACCATGCACCACGGCGAAAAGTGGATTTTCCCGTCCTTAAATTAGCAAATATGGATTCTGACATGCCCTGAAAGCGTTTGCGCCCTGCGCTTTCCGTTTTGCGCATGGACCGTCAAAATAGAGCCCTTAAAGTCAAAAAAGGCTGTATGAACTGTTTTGAGAGCATGGACCTTGGTTTGCAGAAATGTGTCAAATCAAAAAGCAGCCTCTATTGCTACATGACAAATGATGAAATCATTGCATTTGGTGTCTGTATCTGGAAAAGGTGAAGACTTCAGGCTGAGCACTGGCTCCATCCCAAATCCATCTGCATTACTGCTCTCAAAACACTCTGAGCAATCTGTTTTTTCCAGTCAGTTTATGTTTTTGCTTTGATTTAGCAAAGTGACATGTTTACCTGATATAAAATACCTTGTTGTATTTATCCTGAAATCCTTCGCTATGAAGACAAAATATGACATAATCATACTTTAAATCAGCTAGAAACATGTAGAAATTGACCGATACGGTCAGCATGAAAGCAAAATTACTTCCTAAACTGACAATCCATCCAAAAATGAACATTCTGTCATCATTTACTTGTTTCCAACCATTGTGCTGGGATTTTTATTCACATGGAACAAAATATAAATATAATTTGGGAAGAAGTACCAAGGTATAATAAGATAAACACATTGGCGCAAGACAGAGAAATTGTGTGTGTGCATGTATACCTATATACATTCACCGGCCACTTTATTAGGTACACCTTACTAGTACGGGGTTGGACCCCCTTTTGCTTTCAGAACTGCCTTAATCTTTCGTGGCATAGATTCAACAAGGTACTGGAAATATTGCTTAGAGATTTTTGTCCACATAGACATGATAGCATTACGCAGTTGCTGCAGATTTGTCAGCTGCAGATCCATGATGTGAATCTTCCGTTCCACCCCATACCAAAGGTGCTCTATTGGATTGAGTTCTGGAGACTGTGGAGGCCATTTGAGTACAGTGAACTCATTGTCATGTTCAAGAAACCAGTCTGAGATAAATCATGCTTTATGACATGGCGTGTTAGGATTAAGGCAGTTCTAAGGGCAAAAGGGGGTCCAACCCGGTACTAGTGAGGTGTACCTAATAAAGTGGCCAGTAGGTGTATAAGCAAGTGTACTCCAAAGCAGTGACAAAATTCGCATCCAAAAAATATAAAACCTTCTGTTTGTCACTAAATTCATTCATTTTCTACAGCCTTTCCGGGGCCAGGTCACAGGGGCAGCAGTCTTAGGAGAGAACCCCAGACTTCTGAGGCTTCTGAGGCGTTCCCAGGCCAGCCGAGAGACATAGTACCTCCAGCGTGTCCTGGGTCTTCTCCAAGGCCTCCTTCCGGTGGGACATGCCAGGAACACCTCTCTAGGTAGGCATCCAGGAGGCATCCAAAACAAATGCCCGAACCACCACAGCTGACATCTCTCGATGTGGAAGATCAGCAGCTCTACTCTGAGCTCCTCCCGGGTGACAGAGCTCCTCACCCTATCTATATGTGTGTGCCCTGCCACCCTGCGAAGAAAACTCATTTTGGCCGCTTATATCCGAGAACTTGTCCTTTCGGTCATGACCCAAAGCTCATGACCATAGGTGAGAATAGGAACGTAGATTGACCGGTAAATCGAGAGCTTTGCCTTTTGGCTCAGCTCCTTTACCACAACGGACCAGTACATCATTACTGCTGCACCAATCCGCCTGTCAATCTCACGTTCCATCCTTCCCTCATACTTGAACAAAACCCCAAGGTACTTGAACTCCTCCACATGGGGTAAGGAATTTCCTCCAACCTGGAGATGACAAACCACCTTTTTCCAGTGAAGCACCATGGCCTCGGACTTGGAGGTGCTGATTCTCATCCCAGCCACGTCACACTTGGCAGCAAACTGCCTCACACTTCTGTATAAATCGATCAACATGCCCTGCCCCCTTCTTATTTGCTTTTAATCTGTAGCACTTGATCTCGACCAATCAATGGCAGAGCTGTGATAAAGCTAAATGCTATTGACTTTTCTTAAAGGAGGAGGAGATACTGTAGGCCCCGCCCTCTCCTCATGTTTCAGTTAAGATTACCTCAAACATGGAATAAAAACACATTTAAAAGCACTTCACGGTACCTTTAAGAACAAACTTCATTAAGTAAGGTGTGAAAGACAGTAAATAGCAGGGAAAGTGAGAGGTGGGTATTAGGAGTTGATGTTTTTACCATGAGATGGAGTGGAGTTTTAGTGGGTCCCTTGGCGGACATCTTTTCCCACAATCCTCTCCTCACGTAGCGCACCGTGGTGCCAGCGAGCTCAAACTCCCCGGGCAGCTCAATCTTCCAGTCGTTGTTTATGGATCTCTTGCTGGAGTCCTTCAGAGCTGCAGAGACAAACAGAATCTCATTCATCTAAAGCACATTACACAGACATCATTACCTGAATAATCCTGTGTGTTTACTGGCAGGCCTGATTGAAAAGCTCATTTTAAAAAGCATTATTTTGCCAGATTAATTTGGTTATTCACATAATAATCAAAATGTCACACTGTTATTAATAAGTCATTCAATTATTCTCCAGTTGATCTCTGGTGTAGCTGGTGTATTACAGATACCTTCACAAACACGGCCACTTTATAAGGTACACCTTACTAGTACCGGGTTGGACCTTTTAATTTGTATGCCTTCATATTTGTTTAATTTGTATGACCCTTTTGCTTTCAGAACTGCCTTAATCCTTTGTGGCATAGATTCAACAAGCTACTGGAAATATTCCTCAGAGATTTTGCTCCATATTGACATGCTGCAGATTTGTCGGCTGCACATCCATGATGCGAATCTCCCAATCCACCACATCCCAAAGGTGCTCTATTGGATTGAGATTTGGTGACTGTGGAGGCCATTTGAGTACAGTGAACGTTCGAGGTTACAGAAGTAACCCTTCGTTCCCCGAGGAGGGGAACGGAAGTGCCATGAATGGGAGGATTCGGATCAGAAGCCGCTTATCTGGAGAGTATTGAACGGGCCAATGAATGAAATTAATTGGCAGCGTAAGCTTGCGCAGGTG